CCCGTCCAATCGTACCAACTAGTCCCAATACATAACACGAACCTGCTCGAGGCCTCAAATCACATCAAACAACATCAAAGCCACGAATCATACCCCAATTCAAGCCTAATAAACTTTGAAATTTCAAATTCTATATTTTGTGCCTAAACACATCAAATCAATTTGGAATGACTTCAAATTTCGCACACAAGTCATAATTGACATAATAAAGCTATTCCAATTTCCATAATCGGATTCCGGCCCCGATATCAAAAAGTAACCCCCCCAGTCAAACTTTCCAAAAATTCATCTTTCGCCATTTCAAGCTAAATTCCTCTACAGATCTCCAAATAATTTTCCGGACAAGCTCCTAAGTCCATAATCACCATACAAAGCTATTGACATCATCAAAATTCCATTTTGGAGTCGTTATCACACAGTTTCGACTACGGTAAAAAATCCTAAGACTTAAGCTTCCGTTTTGGGGACCAAGTATCCCAAATCACTCCGAATCATCCGGTAACTAAATTCAACCGCGCACGCAAGTTAATACACATAATAAGAAGCTGCTCAGTGCCTTATGCTGCCAGACGGGGCTTAAATTCTTAAAACGACAGCATGGTCAACCTGGGCCCGTGGCTCTAGGGTATGGGCGGTGGGAGTCTGTGCTCTTTCCCCGACCTGAGATATGGCAGGAGAAAGTGGAATCAAACATGCCTGACCTAGAGTGCCAGACATGCTCAAAAACTGAGCAAGAGTCTCCTGAAGTGCAGGGGTAGTAACATGCATCTCAGGTGCCTGCTCTCCAATAGGAGATACTGGTGGCTCTGCTGTAGCAACTCGTGCAAGTGCTCTAGCTGAACCCTGTGGTCTTCCTCGGCCTCTGCCCCGCCCCCTTGCGACTTCAACAACGGGCGTGGGTGTCTGATCATCGGATCTAGTTGTGCGTGTCCTCACCATCTGTGAGAGAATAGAAAGACAAGAGATTAGAATTTTGAAGTCAACAAATACGCATGATAAGGAATCAAAGAAGTGAACATTTTCCTAACAATTCCATAGCCTCCCGAAGATAAGTACAAAAGTCTCCGTAGCGGTCCGCGAGACTCTACTAAACCTGCTTGTGACTCATAATACCTATGAACCTAGAGCTCTAATACCAACTTATCACGACCCCAATTCACCCTATGTAGAATGTCGTGATGGCACCTAGTCTCTAACACTAGGTAAGCCTAACAAATTGAGGAATAACATAATAAGAGTCTGAAACTCAAACCTCAATAGTTGTAATAAATGAAAAGTGCAAGTCAAAGAACTACAATCTCCCAAAACTTGGTAGAAACAAGTCACAAGCTTCTAAGAGAAATACTAATATCTCTATATATCAGAGTCTACTAAAATAAGAAAAACAACATGATAAGGATAGAGGGGGACTCCGAGGCCTGCGGACACTGGCAGATGTATCTTGAAGTCTCCGCCCACAGGTAGCTTACTGATATCTGGGCTGGTAAGAAGTACCTGGATCTGCACAAAAAGATGTGCAGAAGCGTAGTATGAGTACACCATAGCGGTACCCAGTAAGTGCCAAGCCTAACCTCGGTAGATTAGTGACGAGGTCAGATCCGACCCTACTGGAAATAATAGAAAAGTAAGACAAAGGATATAATAATATAACGAAATGACTGAGAAGTGAACAACACATCAAATAGAGGTAAACAACAGGGGCGCTCCTGAGGTACTGCCTCGTAGTCCCAAAAGTAAATATGCAGTGCAGGGCGATTTCCCGAGGAACCGCCTCGTAGTCCCAAAAGTAAATATACAGTACAAGGGGATCTCTGGAGCAACCGCCTCGTAGTCCCAAAAGTAAATATGCAGTACAGGGGGATCTCCTGATGAACCGCCTCGTAGTCCTAAAGTAAATATGCAACAGATATCTGAAGGAAACAACGGATTTACAGCAAGAATCTCACTATTAAAGATTTAAATCAAATCAAATAAGCATGTAATTCAGCTAAGCATGTTGCACATATTGCAAGTAAGAGTTAGGGCACGTAGACATGTGATACTAGACTAAACATGATCACTACATATACTAAAGCAACTCAGTTAAAGAATTTAAGAGAAGACTACTCAGCAAGAACCGATATTTCCAAATTTAACCTGTGTACGCACTCGTCACCTCGTGTACACGGCGCTCACATATCACAAAATGTTACAATAGTATCAAATCCTAAGGGGATTTCCCCCACACAGGGTTTACCTCAAGCCAAGCTCAATCAGTCAATAAGAATGTCTTTCCCTCGATTTTCTGACTCTAATCGGCTTGAATCTAGTCACAATTAATTCGATTTAGTCAATACAAATTATAGGAACAAATTCCATATGAAAATAAAAATTTTCAACAAAAATCTGAAATTTATCTCAAAAATCACATGTGGGGCCCACGTCTCGAAACCCGACAAAAGTTACAAAAACCAAAAGCCCATTCAACCAAGAGTCTAACCATACCAATTTTACCTAATTCCGACATCAACTCGACCCTCAAATCTTCAAATTAAACCAAGAGGGTTTTCTAAATTTTCCAACTTAATTTACCCGTTAAATGTTAAAACCAACCATGGATTCAAGTAATTTAATCAATATTGAGTTAAGAACACTTACACCATTGTTTTCCTTGAAAATCTCCCAAATATCGCCTCTTTCCGTGCTCCAAATCGGAAAAAATGGAAAATGGAATGAAATCCCATTTTCAGAACTTAAACTTTCTATCCAGTGGTTTCTTCTTCGCGAACGTGACAACACCTTCGCGTTCGCGAAGCAGATTTTTTTGTGCTGCCCGAATTTCTTCTTCACGAACGTGAAGACAGCCTCGCGAACGCGATTCTTTACCAAGCTTTTCCATCGCGAATGTGAGCTACCCTTCGCGAACGCGAATCTTTAATGTTCCACTGTCCCCAAACCTTCTACGCGAACGCGTTCGCGATGAACACTGGATCAACCCTTCGCGAACGCGGTCCATTTATCGCGAACACGAAGAACAAAATTACCTGCCTCCAGTTCTTCTTCGCGAATGCGAGACCCCTCTTGCGAACGAGAAGAAGGAAATTAGACATTGCATCAGAAAATTGCAGCAAAGTTCCAAGTGAAAAATTCAATCCGTTAATTATCTGAAACTCACCCGAGGCCCCCGGGACCTCAACCAAATACACCAACATGTCCTAAAATATCATACGAACTTAGTTGAAACCTCAAATCATGTCAAACAATGCTAAAAACATGAATCATACCCCAATTCAAGCCTAATGAAACTAAGAAATACCAACTTCTACAACCGATGCCGAAACTTATCAAATCAAGTCCGATTGACCTCAAATTTTGTACATTAGTCATAAATGACATAACGAACCTGTTATAATTTCTAGAATCGGATTCCAACCCCGATATAAAAAAGTCAACTCCCCGATCAAACTTTTCAAAAATTAAACTTTCGCCATTTCAAGCCTAATTCCACTACAGACCTCAAATCACAATCTAGACATGCTCCTAAGTACAAAATCACCCAACTGAGCTAACGGAAACATCAAAATTCAAATACGGGGTCGTTTACACATAAGTCAACATCCGGATAAAGTGTCTCAATTTACTCTGAAATCCTTCGAGACCCGAACCAACCAATCTGGTAAGTCATAAAATAACTGTAAAGCATAAATTGAGCAGTAAATGGGGAAACGAGATTGTAATACTCAAAATAATCGACCAGGTCATTACATGTCGATGCACAACTGAATTACACCACCACGAAAAAAGGAGTTGTTGGCCGTTGTGTGGGCCTTTGAGAAATTTTGGGCATACTTGGTGGGAACAAAAGTCATAGTCCATACTGATCATGCGGCAATTAAGTATATATTTACAAAAAAAAAAATCCAAGGCTAGATTGATGCAATGGGTTTTGTTATTGCAGGAATTTAATATAGAAATACGAGATCGAAAGGGCTCAGAGAATGAAGTAGCTGACAATCTATCAAGGCTGGAATCACAACCATGTGGAGGAGGGTGGCCAAATTAAAGAAGCATTTCCTGATGAACAATTTTTTGCTATTACCCAAGACCTTCCCCCATGGTACGCGGACTATGTGAACTATCTTGTGAGTGGGGTACTTTCTCCTGAAATTGAATCTAGAGCTAGAAAGAGGTTTCTACATGATGTGAACTTTGATTACTGGGATGAGCCATACTTGTACAAGAAATGTCCTGATCAGCTGATGAGGATATGTATTCCAGAAAATGAGGTGGAATTAGTGTTGTATGATTGTCATGCATCACCCTATGGAGGCCATCATGGAGGTGATAAAATAGCTATAAAGGTATTACAATCTGGTTTCTTTTGGCCAACATTATTCAAGGAGGCTCGTGCATTTGTTAAGAAGTGTGATAAGTGTCAAAGAAAAAGAACAATCACAAATAGGTATGAGATGCCTTTTAATAACATCCTGGAGGTTGAGATTTTTGATGTGTGGGGGAGAGATTTTATGGGACCATTCCCATTGTCTAGAGGAAACAAATACATCTTTTTAGCAGTTGACTACGTGTCAAAATGGGTTGAGGCGATCGCATTGCCAACAAATGATGCCATGGTTGTAGCTGCGTTTGTGAAAAAGAACACATTTTCGAGGTTTAGGACTCCACGTGCCTTGATTAGTGATGAAGGAACATATTTTTGCAATCGATTGTTGAATAACCTTCTAGATAAATATAGAGTCCACCATAGAGTTGCCACGTCATATCATCCTCAAACAAGTGGACATGCTGAGGTATTTAATAGAAAAATAAAGCAAATCTTAGGGAAAACGGTGAGTGTGAATAAGAAGGATTGGGCTGCAAAGTTAGATGATGCCTTGTGGGCATATAGAACTGCATACAAAATGCCAATTGGAGCGTCACCGTATAAGCTTGTTTATGGAAAGGCATGTCACTTGCCTGTTGAACTTGAATACAAAGCGTACTAGGCCATCAAAAAGTTGAATATGGACCTTGAAGCAGCGGGTGAGAAGAGACTCTTGCAGTTGAATGAGTTAGATGAGTTCAGGCTGCACTCATATGAAAATGCTAAGCTTTATAAAGAGATAACGAAAAGATGGCATGACAAACATATCAAGCCACGTCACTTCGAACCAGGCCAACAGGTATTATTGTTCAATTCTAGGCTTAAGATATTTCCTGGGAAGATAAAATCAAGATGGTCAAGCCCGTTTAAGGTAGTGAGAGTCACTCTTTATGGTGCAATCGAGTTGCGCGCGTTAAATGGTAAAAGAAAATTCTTAGTGAATGGATACAGAGTCAAGCACTATTGGGGAGGAATAATGGATCGTGAGAAGACCAAAGTTGTACCCGTTGATGAATAAGTGAGTCCCCACGTCGTGCCGCAATAAATCAGGCTCTAGTTGGGAGGCAACCCAATTTTTATTGCTTTCATAGCTTAGTTTTTTAATTTTTTAGTTATAGTAGACTAGAGTTTGCATTTTCTTTGTAGACATAAAATTTATAAGTAGAATGGTGTGGGTCATGTAAATTAGATGTATAAAAGGCTCGAGGGATCGGGATGTTAAAAATAAATTGGCGAAGTTCAATGCCAGGGACAGTGCCCCACACTGCCTCGGGCGCCCAATCCAGAAAGTTGAAACCCCTAGCGCTAGGCATAGCGTGGGGCGCTAGGCTGAGGGGTGGCCAGGTAAGTTTTTAATTTTTTTTCGTTTTGTTTAATTATATATTTATTTTAACTCATACCCATAAAACCCAACCCATATACCCATCTACACTAACACTATAACCCATATTATAACATATACCCACCCATAACATAATTTAAAACATAACTAAAACACTCCCCACCCAAAACACGTTCTCTCTCTCTGTCTCTCATGCCCAGCTTCGACCGCGACCCTGCGCTTCCTTCTCTATAAAAATCTCTCAAATCTTCTCTTCCTCTCATCCTAAATCTTACAGGTATGTTCTTCTTCTTCTTCTTTTAATAGGTATATGCTAATGAACATCCCATCTCTCCAAACACCGTAATCCCCAAATTTTGCATCTAAGTTGTTTCTTAAGAATTGTTCTATGGTGGGTGGTCCGATTATAGGATGAAATTTATTGTGGTTATACTGTATACGGAGTAGTAAACTAGAATTCCCTCTACTTAGTTGAAATTTAGGCGGGCCACCATGTTCCACCATTGTTAAACTAAAGTACACACACTTCATGCCTACAAGGTGTTTATAAAAATGTTTGAATGAATGTTTTGTGCACCGGTGAAGTCTGAGTAACCGAGTGTAGTTGTATATGGTATTGGGATAAGTGTGGGATGTGTGGAGATGATTTTACATACTTGGGAGCTTGGTTTAAATGCACACATGTCGATCACACCATGTATTCTTTATTATGTATGTTGTAGCACTTTGTAAGATTAGCTAATTTAGTGTAGTTGTTGTGTAAAAAGTAAGTACCATATGTCGCTTGCTTGCATTGAGGTTAATTCAATTCGCCATGATCAATAACTTATGTGTGTGGCATCGTTAGTGCCTTTTAGCTATTGTGTGTCATTGGGAAGTCTTGACTACCCATTGCCTTGTGGTACAACACTTGTGCGTTTTAGACCACGATTGTGAAGTATTGTACATTGAGCCTTCGGTTTTAAGTGTGGGCTCATTTTTGACTCGCGTGACAACCTTTGGCGTATTTCTGGATTAGTTCTTACATTTATGCTTATTTTTGTTGTAGGTTTCTATGGCTCGTGATAATGCAAGTAAAGGCAATGGCATAGGAAGGTCCTCTACCACTGCCCCGCGCCCAAAAAATGCAAGCAAAGAGAAGGATCCTCGAGGCAAGCTAAGGGGAAACAAGTGGCCGAGGGATCACATCAAACACCATTGCAATATAGGCCTTGTTTGAAACTAACCAGTGATGTTGTTATTGCATGGTATACGGACTTTGTGCCGGCTGAATGGTACGTCTCCAAGATGGGGATTAATGTAAAAGCTTTATAAAGAAACTTCTCGGATGTACTTGACCGGTTGCGATCACTGAACACGGACAAACTCATAGAATGCCCCGGGCATGCAAATTTGAGCATGGTTCGGGAACTGTACGCCAACTAGAATGTAGACTTATTCAGGTCACATGTACGTGGAATCGACGTGCCACTGGATAGGAGGTCTTTATGTGCATTTTCGGGGGTTGAGAACGCTGACCCGAGAAGGCTAAAGGAATTTTTCACAAGCCTAAGCTACACGGCAATACGTCACACTCTTTGTGGCATTGATTCAAATGCCAAGTGGAACAGAAAGCAAGGTGATATCCATCTTCATATAGTTCGCTCTGATTTCAACAAGACCGCCAAAGTGTGGCAGAATTTTGTGCAAGACAAACTCATGCCAGTTGAACATAACAACGAATGCACTCGAGCTCGAGTGTGTGTGATATTATTTTTGATGACTGGGAGATCCATTAATGTGGGTGAGATAATGCTGGGGGAGATGGCCCGCACATGATTTGGGCGGCAGATTAAAAGGGTTTTCTTTGGCAACTTGCTCACGCAATATATGCTTTTTCGAGAGGTGCCGAGATACCCAGGGTATGATGAGGTGGTATAGGCGTCTAAAGGGCTATTGGACATCACATACTTGTTGGAGTCTACGTCTAAGCTTACTTAGGCTGCATGGAACGAACGAGACGAGAACTTCAACAGGTATATTTATAACTCCTTGAATTTAATCATGCGCAGGATGGGTGTATCAGATGAGGAGCGTATGCATTTACACAATGATTTGTCTAGTTCCTCCAAAGAGATGTTAGGGATTGCACCTGGAAGCCCCGTTCACTCGTCGGAGAACGCAAACACTGTAAAAGGCTATGACACGGAGGATGAGATTGGTGATGATGTCACGGGGGCTATAGCTTTAGTACCTCTAGAACCTGATGATGATATGCCCAGAGCTATGGATGGTGAGCATGATGAGGAGGAAGACTCTGACTGACAGGGAGTTTTCTTTCCCCTACTCTGGTTTACATTTTTATATGCATTGAGGACTATGCATATGCTAACTGTGGGGTGGGAGAACTACTACTTGTGATATACTTTGTATAAATTGTATCAATTTGTTTCTCTTATTAGTTTTACTTTCTTTTATTAGTTTTACGTAGTCTAGTTTTTAGTCTAGTTTGTTTTAGAAAGAAAGAAAAAAATTTACAAAAATGCAAAAAGAAAAAAAATATATCAGAAAAAACTCGAACTTTTCCCGACGATGGATCTGTTGGACAATTTTCTTGAGGGATAAATTCTTATTCAAATTTAAATTTTTTTAGGTAGGTAGTATCCCTTGGTTTTTCTTTAGCCGCCGGTTCTTTTCCAAGGGTGTAGCTCAAATCGGGTAATTTATTTTCTTTAGGAGTAGGGTAGGAAGAAACTGAGTTAATATGAGATACCTAGTGACATGTTTGGTGTTGGCACATTATGTTATGACATGCATTCTATCTGCTCGTACATTTGAGTTGAATTGTGATGCCTGAGTAAATAGCCTATTTTGTGGCGGCTTTTCTCAGTTGTTCGACTTGTATGCTACATAATGCGTTAATGCTTAAATTTCTTAATTATATGTGCTTGCTTGAATTGAGGGTTGAACAAAACCATCTTGATTGAGTCATGTGCAATGTGTGTGTGAGGAATTGTGATTCTATGTGCTATCCTGTGTAGTCTGGAACTTGCGCTGTGTATTAATCGAAGAGAAATTGCTAAGCTTTGCTAATCTAGGAGATGATGTAAGCGTTTCTTGCTTGAGCTTAGATATGCATATCACTTGAAGATAAAAGTTTTCGTTGCTAGCCCCGTTGAGCCTGTAAACATTTTCGTTGGCACCCACGTTACAAGTCGTACCCCTATTTTATTCTTAATTTGAGATTGTTGAACCTTTACCTCCTAAGGCACTTATTCGCTAAAAGAAGTAAGGTGACAGATTGGGGATTAGTTTTTGAGTGGAACCATGGAAGGGCCCTTTGGTGCACTAAAGTTGAAATCAAAATTCACTAGCCGGTGAACTTTAATATGTGGAGTGTGTGTAGAAAAAAAAAAGAGAAAGAAAAAGACAAATTGCAAGAAAAAAAATGATAGTCAAATAATGTAGAAAAACACACACACCTCCTAATCTTACTAATTTGTGCTAGTGGGAGTATAGAAGTGCTTAATGAAAATAAGGGTTGTGTTGTATATGGTTTGTGGCAAGTGAATTAGTTGAGAAGAATATGTGCTCGATTTGTGAGTGTAGTGTATTAAAATGCCTAGTAGGGTTAGTCACTATTCCTAAATATATCATACTCGTCCCTTAGCCTACATTACAATCTTAAAGTCCTAATTGATCCTAGATTTGGCTAGCTTAGATTAGTAGAGATGTACACTATGGGCAAGCTTATGGTACAACCACGGGATGCATATGATATCTTTGTGAGAGTGAGCTAATTTTGTTCAATTGCATGATATCCTTAATTTATATTCAAAAGCATATTTGAATGTGTGGACTAGTCTATATTCACTCTTTTGTTTGTTGGTAAGGGCACATGATTTCAAGAATGATTGGTAATGTTTTAAACGTCTCTTGTTGGGTGAGTGCGCGAGTTGAGGGTGCTTAGTGATAACGAGTCGACTCTTAAGGTTGGGTGGTTACAGATAAGTTGTTTGAATTGAAATTGTTATACTTGGGCATGTTTAAAACGGGAAGAGTGCAAATTTTGCATGTTCATGCTTGATTGTCGGTATCGATCATAGTCAAAGGTAGAGTGTATGGTTATAAAATGAAGTGCTCCTCTATAGTTTAGATTTGTATGTAGTTGGGATAGAGTTGTAGGTCCCATTGCTCGAGGACGAGCAAGAGTCTAAGTGTGAGGTGTTGATATTTAGTTTAAAGTATATATATATTTATATGTATATCGCCTCATATTTTACTCGTGCTTCATGGATTTCGGATGTAAAATGTGTTGAGTTATATTAATTTGGGGTGTTTTATGTGTAAGAATCATTCGGAAGCAATTGGGGCGAAAGGTGCGAGATTAGAGCCAAAACGGAGGAAAACGGGAAAAGTTGGATTTTCAGCGCTCCAAGCCACCTGTGGCGTCAGTGGCAGAAACTTTTACTAGATAGTGCCAGGGCCAGCGTGGGATGTTGGGTTGGACGCTGGTGATGAGGGATTTGTCCAAGTTTGCCCGGGACAAGGTTATTTCGGCCCTAGACCTACCCAACACGTATAAAAGCAAGACTAAGCTTATTTTTAGAAGGGGACGCCACTTTGGAGGGAGGATACACACGAGGAACATCCGAGAGCGAGGAGATCTCAATTTTCTTCACCATTTCTTAGTATTT